GTAAAGCCCGCGAACGGGAAAATCTTTCCGGTGCCCTCCCCCGCGAACGGGGGGCCCGGGGACCGCCGTTCGGCACTCGAACGAAGGGCCGGTCCTTCCCGAGTCCCGAGCCGGAGCGGCGCGCGCGTCGCGTCGCGCCTTCCCCCCCTTCGCGAATTTAACGTGGACCCCTCGCAAAACGCAAAAACTTCGGGGGGGCCGAGGGGGGGGAAGGCCTAAAGTTCGAGGGGCACCGCCGCCCGGGCCGCTACCGCGGCCCGGAGCCGCGGCCGCCACAAAATTTTTGGGAATTTCATCAGGCCGTTTTGTAGAAATTCGACAAAATCGAGTTAACGGGTTGTTTTCTTATTTTATATAAAATAACCCTGTCCAATCACATCACTTTTTATATCTAGTGTTAAACCACCCGGTGTGTTAAGACGGTGCGAAAAAGGCAGTGTGTACCATCATTTTTTGCCGTTTATTAACGACTCTCGATTACTTTACATGAAAAAACCATACCAATGCATTTAATTTGTTTGAGAAAATTAACGATTTCTGTCGGAATGTCGAAAAAAGTCCTCTAGCGGCGACATGTGAAACCAACAAAACTTAAAATATTATAACATTTGTAGCCCAAGAATAGCTTTTTTCAACTAGCCTAAGTTTGTTTTAATCGGCTCAGTCGTTGCGAAAATACAGGATGTTTTTTTACGGAAACCTTTCAATTCAAACGAAAAAGGTTCAGATTATCCACGACGTTAACGACCATGGATTTTTTGTTAGGTTAATATAGCGGAATGCACAAAAACATCACTTTTTACATTCAACATTGCAGTTACGCCCCCTAGCGACCATTTCAGAAACTTTTCCAGGTTTTTCTCTTGGCCGTTTCAGTAATAACTTTTTTGCCGCAAGCCTGGTTAGCTTCCCAGATACAGTACTTCGCATTCTTAGTTGGCCACGCTGTACAATATAATAGCATTTGTATCTATCTAATTGATAGCAAAAACAGAACGAGAAAATGCACGAATATATTACGCTGCAAAGCTGAACTTTCAAAAACGCGATGTATTGAATGAACAGGGCGAGGAAAAGCCGAGCTATCACGAACCCGAGCGAGGCGAGGCGGCGTAGCGCCGAAACCGAGCGTATGAAAAAGTGTATACGTTAATTGGATTGATGCGTCGGTCGGTCTATCAATTCAATTTAATTAACTATCTATAAATGTATAAATTTAATGGCAGTATTTAAGGGATGCTGGCTGTAGATTTAATACCCACCACAACACTTTAAACAACTCGTGTTCCACCATCAAACTGAATTCGACTAAGTAAAGCGATTAAGTTCTGCGTCATTAGACTGATGAGCACTTGCCAGCGTTTGCGCGTCTGTTTCTCTCCATAAACCCGTAATACAACCCGTGTCGATTTTGGACTTTCGCAAGATGATAGCGTATGTGCCAGTTGTGTTACTTTTAAAAATAACATGGCCGTCTTCCATAATTTTGTTGTGTGTAGTGTCTATTGTTCCTTGCATAGTATTTTCTCATTTATCCACGTGAAATGGGCTGCATATTTCGTTTTGCGCAAATGACGTCGAGAAAATGATTATTGGAAAATCACATCCATTCATTGCAGCACATTTTAAAATTCAATTAAATATATAAATGGATAACTTAAATCGTTAAGAGTATTGGCTACCAAATGAGAATAAAAGGTAGAAATCTGCACAATGAATAAACTAAACAAATATAGAAAACGAGCTCCTGGGTATGGCTACAGCATGTGCAAAACCAAAATTTAAACCTGATGTTAGTTTTGCTTTTATTTAAAGTGTATATGTATGAAATTTCGTTTAATTGCTTCCATAAATAAGAAAGTTGGCACTGCACATCCTACACAAAACCAAATTTGGAAAATGGCGCTACATTTGCTTTTATTCCAAGTGGCTATGTATCAAATTTCATTTTAATGCCTCCATAAATAAGAAAGTTGGCCCTGCACATGCGCAAAACCAAATTTTGAAACTGACGTTATATTTGCTTTTATTCCAAGTGGCTATGCATAAAATTTCATTTAAATCCTTCCATAAATAATAAAATTGGCACTGCGCATGCGCAAAACCAAATTTTGAAACTGACGTTATATTTGCTTTTATTCCAAGTGGTTATGTATCAAATTTCATTTAAATAAAATATATATAAATAAAAAAAATTTGCAATTCGGTTTATAAATGGTCGAGATGCGGAAAGGGCACTGTGAATGTTGATCGATTAGGCTCAATTTTTGGAATTGCGTTTTATACGGATAAAGCTATATGCATATTGAATTTCATGCAATTCGGTTCATAACTCACGGAGACGTCAAAAGGGCCTTCCTTATTTTTTGGGCTACATTGCCAATTCACGAACTCAGATCTACAAATTTCATAAAGAATCCATCTACTAAATTTTATCGTAATCGGTCCATTCGTTATCGAGATATCGTGCTAACGGACGGACAGGCGGACAGACACCGCAAATTATAAACTCGCTAGGAGCTCGTAATAAAGAAAAAATTCCACAGTGAACAGTGACTAAGGTCACGTGCACATGAGCTGCAAAGTACTCGGAACGCCAAGATTGCATCAAGATAGTCAGAAAGACGTTGGGAGTGATGGTGTCCGATAGGTATCGGCGTCCTTGTGCACTGGCCCCATTACTCCTCAACTACCTTGGTAGAAAACAATTTCGGCGTCCCGATTACTTTGCAGTTCATGTGCACCGGGCCTTAGAATGGTCGGCCAACAGTTTTCGATACACGCTTAAAAGTTATAAAAATAAAGAAGATTGCTTACCATCATAAGGCACCAATGCAAATGACTAGCAGCAAAGATGCTTTCGGAGTAGTTAGATAAATCTAAAAAGAGAATTATAAATGTAACATACACGTATCTAGTGTGTACTAATCGATTTAGGTTGAAGAGAGGAAAATTGCATTTAAATAATTAATTAGTATCCATGTGTAGATTTAACTTATTTAAAGAAGAACTTGACAAACGCGCACAAAGTATACCTATATTTACAAACTACAAGGACGCAATTCATTATAAACGTTGTTTGAGTTTCAATTAGCTAAACTCCAACTAATTTGCAATCAAATGCGTCAATGAAATGAAAATCACTTTAAAGCTAGCCTTACACGGCGTGAGGTGTCGCCCCTGGAGTGTGGCGTGCGGAATGACGAGCCCATGTGCGACGTATAGTCGAAGATCTCGCATCCTGGGATTGCACATGCACACGCACGCCACTCCTGACTCCAGGTCGCGCGCGGCGTGTTTACTTTGAAGAGTGCAAAGTTTACCGCCTATCGACGCGATAGGACACGCCGCGCGAATCTCATCGCGCCGACCTAATCACACTCCAGGTGTGACACTTCGCATGCCGTGTAACGCCACCTTAAGAACCCTATCTAATGCTCTTGGCTTTGATAGTCTTGTCTAATCATGAGCATATATCACGGATTACATAATCGAAACATCTTTACCCAAAGGTTCAAGCTGATTGATTAAGACGACACTCGTTAGACAATTATTTACATTTGCTTTGTCCATAATTCGCATAATTCATAAGAACATACCTCCTCAAGGTAAGTATAATATAAAGAATGAAAACACTACGTCATTTTTTATACTATTTGCATAGGAGAAAGAAACAACTACAATAGCCATAGATATTTAAACATTAACTCCTGTAGCATTAATACAACAAGTGGTAAAGTGTCGCACTGAAACGAGTGGCAAAGGTGTATCTTTCTTTCACTCGTAACCTTCCAATACTACTCAAAATGTCTGCGTAAACTTTGAGCAAATTTATTCTACGTAGGGTAGTGTGAGACTTGTACCAATGAATTCTCTCCACCTTGACATTCGCCTACAGAGATGGTATCATAGTTTTACAGGCGCCCAGCTTCAACTGTAGGCTTTGTGTAAGTACGTCATACGTCCTAAATCGAGTCATAAAATGTATGGGGAGTAAAAATCATTTATTCCAAATAAGCAATGACCCAAAAATCTACACAATTTGCGTTTCTTATACAACGGCTTTAGTTAAGTTTTGAGTATGCGCTTTGCGATTTTGTAAAAATTCGGAAATGCAACGCTCCTTCGCTCTCTTCTTTTTGTGCGATGTATTATAGAAAAAAAAACGGGGGCGCTCGGATTCGAACTCGCGTCATCAACCGTTAGGTATACATCGGGAAACAGCGAACTTGCCAATATATGACTGCCTTCTTAATATTCGCTTGTACTATTATATATGCGACAAACTAATACGTATAATTAACAAAATCTTATAATCATCTCTTTATTCCGCTTTAAATGTGTATATAAGTATATTAGTCAATGTCAAAGATACATTGACCATTTTAAAAATCGAATGTGCTTTAGCCTCGCCTTAGGCTCGCAAGGTATTACTCGAGCGTGACGGATGAGATGATTTTACTCCCGTCCAAAACATATAGTGCATACGGCAGTCACTTCAAACATTCTTGCCCCATGATGGAGCAGAGAAGTTCGCCAAACTATAAAGTTGGCCTGCTGTTAAAATGAGGATTATGAAAACAGCGCTTACTTTCATCCTGTATGTCGCACTCAAAACAGACAAAAAGGATGGAATTTTGGTACACACAAAAAATAATTTCTTTCCTAATTATGAAATATGCGCTACTGCCACTTTTTCTTCCCATCACCCGTAATAAAAGAACCTCAACCGTTTCCTTCAAAGTTTTTTGTCATCCTGTATTTTTTTAAATATTTTTTTTATTTTCACAATTTTCATCAGTAGCAAAAAGACACCTTCCGCTATCTTGGATTTGGTGACGTCACTCCCACTGTCTCGCCCTCCGTGCACGATGTAACCTTGAGTAATCTTCTTATCTTGGCTAAAGTAAAATAGATTCTTATTTGAGCTAGTGTCTCGTGTAGTTTTATCTAGGGTAAGCAAATTGTCGATTTTTCTTGTTCCTTTTGCGGTTGTTGTAATTTAACCACGTTGCGAGATGTTGGCGAGTTTCGGTAACGTGATCGATGTTTATCTTGCTTATCTCAGAGAATTTGGAATAACATCGTGGAGTTTGGACTTTAGATTCGATCCAATAATTTATTTCGCGGTTTTAAATTTGAATATCTCGAGAAATTATCATGGGACCATTTATTGGAAACGTTACACCCATCACATAACGAGATATACATAGTGGTGCGTTTAAAAGAACCATGAGCGATGAGTCATCCATCATAAGTGGGAAAAGGCCTATGATATTATCGTACTAATATACTAATACGTAATAAGATTGTGACGTAAAGAGTTTCAGAGATGTGAAACAGGTGATGGGGGTGTAACCTTCTAGCACCTTTATTTAATTCGATTTAGGGATGAGTATTATAAGCTGGCTTCATTGTAAGTAAGGATTCTTCACAAAATTTTGTTGCTCTATTGTTCTTTAACTACAAATACGGCACTGGCCGATCGATTGCGGGAGAAAATTGGTCGCGCCAGTCTGGCGGAAGATTAGGCGGAGTTAATGTGTCAGTTTCTGAAGAGTTGGATCCGTTTCACGACGTAGCATGAGAACTGATTACTCGAGGATTTTAACGACCGAGGCTACGGGCAATTGCTTTTCTAAACGTGGGATTGGTACAAGCAGTTGGAGGTTATTGGTTGAATGCATAAAGATGGCCGCGCAAATCGATTAGCAACCATTTTAAAGGTGTGGTTGTAAAATTGGGAAAAGTTAACATGTAACAGATTTTCGAAGGGCATTATGCGCATAGCCGCGAAGCATTACAGTCGAATTCAGCGATAGATCAAAAAAGCGTTAGGTGCGATGTCCCAAATAAGTTCTGCCGAAAACTGCGCTCATGAAAACATTTGGAAGAGATTAAGTGTGAATCTAGGAAAGTAATGCATTCCGTGGTTAAAACAGTGGATGATATGAAGACAGTACGAAATATGCCGCCGTAAAAATCACAAGTCGCTCGCAGTTATTTCACCAAATTCGTTTTTCCATTGTAGTTCGTAAATCCTTAGAATAGTATGGGAGTTTTCAACTTTTCGTAATACGCTAGCCAGGCAACCCATCACCAAGTGAAAAACTCAGGAAGCTAAGGGAGTTGATGATTTAAAATAAGGTAATCGTTTTTTCTTATATTTGTATGTTCAACCCATTACCGTGCCTTTAAGGACAAAAACTTAAACTTTGGTCAGTTAAATAATAAAAAAGGTCTTTAAAGAAACAACGCTTGTCCCTTGTCAAAATGGGTTAATACAACCTTATAGTTGGAATTATTGCCATAAGAACTTTAAATATTTTTAACATTTTTGTAACCCTTCCCCTCACTCGGTCCAACTCGATTTAATGTGTACCACAATATCTAGTGACAAGAATGCCCAGTTTGCACCCGAGCGGCTCGGGTTCGATTCTTTGTATGAACAATTTTTTTTACAAAAAATGCGTATCTAACTCAGCGGAGTTAGACATTCATTAGGTTATTGGTAGGTTTAAGATTTGCTTCTTACATTTTGTTGATGAGCAAAGAAAAATGCCTCAGACATGCGCAGTGTACCTTTGCAACGGGCAGGGCCATTAAGACAATCGGAGCATAAAGAAGCCGTGATGGGTATGTGAAGGAAGTATGAAAGGGATGCAGGAGGGGATGATGTAAACAGTTAAAGCGGAAATGGGAGAGGGGTGCAGATGAAGCATGACAAAGGGTTGGATGAGGCGTGAATAAAAAAAAGTGAAGAAAGCGCAAAGGAATCGTAAGGAAGGGCTAGGCGAACTCGGTGTTCTTCGGTTGAGTCCGCGTTGGATTGTATTCTGTAAGAAACCGAGGCAATAGCCTTGTGTCTTCTAATGTTTTTAACTTTAAACAAAACATTTTCTATTTAATTAAACAATAATCAACAATAGCACTACACAATAATCGACAAAAATTATTACTATTAAAGTCACCGAAATGATTTTCTTACAGTATTTGTCACCTAGTTTTAGCAAACAACGTAGCGACAATAAAATTGCTTAACTGTTAAAGGTATACGAATTTAGACACAATAAAATCTTAAACAACCAAAGTACCCAATTGTGTAGGTTGCCGTTTGGTTCGAGCTTTCCTCATATGGAAAAGGCCTGCATAAAAATATGCAAATATGCAATAATAAAATACGTGAATTATGGGTGTACTGGACGTAATGTCCGTTATAGTTGATTAACCCAAATTAATTTAATTAATATTACAACCGACGTCTTTGAATGACATTTTAAATAATTCAACGACGTATATATTACGCATTTTAATGATCTCAAACGGTCAATTCCAAGTTTGGCCAATTTAGACGTGGAATTGAACATAAATATTTCGCCACAAGGTTATACATTCTATCATTGTCACAATGAAAAAAAAACTATTTCCTGCTTACATTTCTCTTTAAACTCGTTCTTAAATTTACAAAAAAAATGCCTATCTATAACTGCTGTATTTTTTGGTTTTTCATGCGGGCATTATTTTACAAATTTTCTACAAAAATGGGAAATATTACCACAATTTTTAATTCCTCAAAATATCACATTTTTAGAATTGTTTACGAGACTCGAGACCAACATGCAATAATAGAGCTCGTAATGGAGCAATTGGTCGCACTATATATGTACTTCAGTTTTCTTCTAAAACGTAATTTAAAAAAATAAAAATACGTAATAAATAAATAAGATCAATCTTTCATGTAGTGAATGACAAACCTGTAGGATCAAGTAATGCTTGTGAAGAAAAACCATTACACTACTACCTACTTTAAAGATTACAATTATCTGACAAAAGTCCTGATAAAATATAAATGATAATAAGTAATTAAAGGAGTTGTGTA